TAAGATTTGCGCAAACAAGCATGTTCATGAAAACAAATATTATGATTGCATCTTAATTTACATGTGTGAAAAGGAAGTTTTCCATTTGCGGATCAGGCGACGCATGTGTATGAATTAACGTTTAGCTTGAGGCTATACTGCCAGGTTTGTTTGAATGCTGAGACTTCCTTTTCGCGGTTTTTAAGCTTTTCAGTAATCAAACACAGACAACTTTAAACGGAAAAGCCACAACGTTCTTATTTAATGTGTACACATCTACCTACCGAGTTGAGAAATATACAATCCTGCGTTACTACACTTGTGTCTGATAAAGTGACATTTAAAAGGGCACCTATTTTACCTCTTATACAAGATGTGCGATGAGACTCCAGAATGTGTCTGTAAAGTTTCAGCTTAAAATAATCTTCTGATTATTTATTATATTATGTAGAATCTGCCCATTTTAGTGATGTGTGATGTAGCTGTTTTGTAGCCTCTGGCTTTAAATCCAAAATCCAAATGAGCTGCTTCTCCCCGCCCACTGCTCTGACATGCGTGTCTGCTTGTCATGCGTTACGTCAAATAAACAGCAGTCAGATAGAGACAGACAATGATGACGCTGAAATAAGGTCATCACTCAAAAATAACTAGTTTATTTGATGTATTTGTGGTTGAGTCTATTCAATGTCAAAATTAATTGTTGCTTTGTTGCACCGCGATGCAGACGTGGACAATTCGATATTGGTTCAATTATTGCTTCTAACCAGTTATTATGTACTGACTTTGTTTATCTCATGTGTGTCGTGGTAGAATACTATGGCGACATTGGCGAGGGAGACAAGTGCGAGTAATTAAATGCAGAAACTCTGCACAAATCACTGCATGTGTTTGCTGGACAGTCACTCACTGACACTGAAGTTACAGCCCCTTTACTACTGGGGAAAATGAAAGAAAACTCTATTTCTCTCTCTCACTGTGGACCTGCTGGCCCAACGTTTCCTCTCCTTGTGGCTGTTACAACGGTACTTCTTGATACAGACCGAGCTTGTATGCAGAGTTTGTATTCTCCGCGTCTATCATGGTTCTGCTGTGATCACTGCTGCCGTTTATCAGTGTCACTCATCGGTGAACAGCGCCAGCTGTTAGAGCGAATCGCAGCCCTTTCTGTTGAGTGCGTGACCAATCATAGGCATTTAACAACTCACTTGAAAATGCTCAAAAAGCAAGTAGGATAATATTTACATTTGTTTATTTGCTTTACATGCTAATGTTGTTGTTGTTGTTGTGTGTGTGTGTGTGTGTACTTGAGTTTTGATGCATTCAAAAAGAGTGTTTTCTTTGAGCAGGTAAAATTAAAGGTACAGTACATTTATCTGACTGAAAGCATCGCCAATGCACCATGATGCACCGAGACATTGAATTGAACCGAATCAATGACATGATAATCGCAACCGATTTGAACTGTGAGACCAGTGCAGGTTCATCCCTCTACTATTCAAGCCTTTCTGAAACAATGAGTCACACACAAATTTAGTTTGCAGTACACACAGACACACTTATGTATATGCACGTTTACTGACACCATGCGAATGTGGTGATTATAGCGGTTAAGAATTATATAGCAATTTTACTTTATTACAAACATGCTCTGTTTTAAACTTTTAAAATGAATTATTGAGGGGCAGCTGATCACAGAGAGTTGTAGCATATGTTTTAATCCCAATGTTCTGTGGATATGTGTATACATGCTATTATGGAAGCATGACACCTGTCAATCAATTCAGTTGGCGGGGAAAACCACTCGTCACGTTGTGGTGGGCCTCAAAATCACTGGGATTTGGATCCTATTTTAACATCAGGAAATTTAAAAAAGAGACTTGTTTTATTTATTTCACTCTAATATGACAGTAGACGCACTAAACTTTCACACACAGGGTTTAACGCTAAGGATTTTTTCCACAGGGCCGATCGGGCCAGTGGTTAAGATTTTTACTTGTCCTGCCAAAATTTACACTATTGTTATGCCCTGACACAGTTCTGTCCAAACAGCTTACAAATGTGGATTTTCACCATAGGTGCCCTTTAAATATCAAACTCAGTATCAAGCTTCCAGAGCAGAGAGAAAAGTGATGCTTTTTGAATTTGAATGATTTTCCCCCCAACAGCTCTACATTATTGTAACCTTATTGTAGTTTGGTGACTACAGATGACTTACTTTTTCAACACTGCTTGTACTCTAGAAAGTGAACTGTGTGCAGTTTAACGAAGAGGCTACTGTGATGCTGTCAGGTCAGTCAAGCTTTTCATAATGGCATTTATCATAGTTAATGATGGAAAAAACAACAGTACCTTCATAAAATTACTGACTCAGCTATTTCTTTACATTTTAGGCTCAATTGATGGGACGGTGCGTTGTTGGGACACAAGATCCAGGCGGATGGAGCCGATCCAGATTCTGGATGAATCACAGGATGGCATCAGCAGCCTAAAAGTGTCAGAACATGAGCTTTTGACTGGGTCAGAACCAAATGAACTATCTTATTGTCTAATTGTTAATTATCTAATTGCAGGACATTATGTGAGCATAAAGGGTAAAGAGATTAAGTCATATTTTTTAATAATCTTGGTTATAAAAAACACGCATGTTAGCCATGTATCATAATTTACTTTTTTAAAGACTCGCTGGATTCTGATTGGTTGTCAGTGATTGTATTTACAGTGGTCTCTCGCTATAATGAAGTTCCCCTTTCGCGGCCTCGCAGTTTCGCTGATTTTTTTCCATTTAATGGCACATTGTGTTCTGCATCCTGATTGGCTGTAGACTATTGTCAATCAATCTCCTCCGTGGTGTGTCTCCTGTACATACAGAATGTGTTCAACTTGCCAAATTTACATAAATCTTTGTCCCTAGCAGTGTGACTCTGAGGTGCTGTACTATATGTTCGCAAGTTTTCTCCCCACAATGTCGACGAAACGTTCTGTATTATCAAAGGCACCTGCGGTAGCACCCCAAAAGGCAGAAAAAAATGCTAATCATGGCACAAAAGACGTCTGGACATGCTAATACTAGGTAGAAGTTAAGCGGCTTTAGAGCGACATTACAGAATAAATAAATTAAGATCAAATGGTTTTTCATCTTTGGTTTAATTCTATAATACTGGACTTATTTTTCTATAAAGGATTGAACTTTGAGAGTGTTTAAACGAGAAAGAAAGTGTGAAAATGTTCATGCCCATCTGAGAAAGGTGTGTAGTGAGGGGTTTTAAAGCCTTAAAACATCTAGAATAATTGTAAAAAATAAAGCTGACAACGCGGAATTTGCCTATTGCACTTTATTTTTAGAACGTAACTCCTGCGAATAACGAGGGATATAAACAAGATTTAAAAATTATTGTTATGTAGTTAATGGTAGGTAGGTAGTTTAAATTAATATTAAAGCTATATCATTATAACTGTGTGACATTTTAAAAGTTTTTTTTGTTTGTTTTTGTCACTAAAGGTCTGTGGATGGGAGAGTGAGGCGATATGACCTAAGAATGGGGCAGCTTCAAGTGGATTACATTGGAAGTGAGTTTTATCACACACAGAATCACAACACGCGTTTTGTAATAATGTGAAGTCTAAAATACCTGTCTTGTGTGTATTTGTTCCTCACAGGTCCAATCACTTGTGTGTGTTTCAGTAGGGATGGTCAGTGCACACTTAGCTCCAGTTTGGACTCTACGGTGCGTCTGCTGGACAAAAGCACAGGAGAGATGCTTGGAGAGTATGTACAACATAGACCAAATTACTACATAAATACAATAGAAATTAATTTGCCACAATCTCTCCGGGTTTATAATGCATATGGTGAAAGTTTAACGTGAATGGTGAAAATGAAATGGAGATACTAAAAACTTGAATGGAACTGTAATACACTGCATAAATGTATTATGTATGAGTATCTCTTCAGCATTTATTACATAATGTGTGTTTTTTTGCTCACAGGTACTCTGGTCATGTCAACAAAGGCTATAAGCTTGACTGCTGTCTGACTGATAAAGACACGCATGTTTTGAGCTGTTCAGAAGATGGCCATGTTTACTACTGGGATCTGGTGGAGGTAAGAAGAATAAGTCATATTTACCAACAGAGGCTTTACTTTAACTTTGTTCACGCTATGTCGCAATTACCATAAATTGCGATGACAAGACAACTTTCTACTTGGAGCTGTTTGCATAATTTAACTGAGAATCAATACTTTGACTCAATCAAGCTCTCAGAAAGCTCTCAGTTTCCCAGTTAGGAGTTTATATTTGGAAATTATGAAGTATGTACCTTTTAACAAAATGTCACATTGAATATGAGCAATAAAGATATAAACCTGTTATCTGTTGTTTTAGGGCTCCCTGACTTTAAAGCTGCCTGTTGGAAAAGCTGTCGTCCAATCGCTGTCCTTCCACCCAACCGAGCCCCGCCTATTAACTTCTATGGAGGGGCGTGTCCAGGTATGGGGGGCAGAGCCAGAGGATACAGCTGAAAATGAGTCGTGAAAACCTGTGTAAAGTGTTGAACACCAAACAAATGAGCAGGACTCAATTTAAAATCATTACTTTTTGATCAGTTTGCTTGTGTTATACTTGTTCTCTGTGTTTATATAAAAAGTGAATAAAATATTTTTTTTGCTTACGGCTTTAGTTTTTAATATAATTTTACGATGAGTTTTCACTTTAGTGTAGATTATTGTAAGCAAGAAAACAGACACAACAACTTTATAGGTTTATATATTTAATCAGAACTGTACAATTTACAAGAAGCAAAAATAAAGAATAACAATAATTTATTTGGCAGTAGAAATGGGTTTCAAATAAATAAATAACTTATAAACATAAATATCTTCGGTTTTTGGTTCAGATGGACAAATTTGTCAAATGAATCATAACTCAGAATTGGCCCCTCAAACACGCCATTTATGTTGTCATTAACCAAAACTGAATGTTTAGACAATCTCAATTGCCTTTTTAGCCAAATAAGCCATGTCATCAGGAGATAGCAACATATACAACTTGGTACGTCTCCATACATACATATTATTCTTCCTGAAATAATGTACCTTTAACAGCCTTTTATTTAAATTCAAGGCACTTTGTAGTACAGTCTCTAAACCAACAGGACAAGATTTTGGCTGTCCATCCTCATCTTTACCCCATACAGACACAACCACCGGCGGCCAGTTTCTCCACTTTGTGCCAGCGATGGTGGTTGTCCAGAAAGGCTATGTCTTCGTGGTGTGTGGGGCGACAACAAGGCTGATGGTGCCATTGGCCGGTGTATTGAAGGACGCCGCTCTGTAGGAGGTTAGTGAGCGTGAGGTCATGGTTCGAGGCAAGGCGAGGGCAGGTCCCGCTGCAGTACTTAAACAGCACCGTCTCATCAGAATCGTAGCCCAGTCCGAGGTCTCGCACTTGCAGCAGGATGGAGTGCAGAGCACATGGAGATTCAGTACTGCGGGGCGATCGAATCACCCTTTCCAACTGCCTCCCAGAACCTTCTTGTTCCTCCCCATCACCTCTTCTGCTTTCTTCATCATGGAGGTCTTTATCTGAGAAAGAATAAGCATAAATAAATACACTTTGTAATCTTTGTTTGTGTAAAATTAAACATTTTTCAACCAAAAGAAAGCTATTTTCATCCAATGTAATTCAACGGGATCCAACTAACATTATTGAACCCTATTGTCTCTATACTTATATGGAGAACAAAATAAAAAACTCATACTAATTTAGAAAAACGCTCTTATAAATCTAGAGATTAAGGCACCCTCTTCCCCATAGGTCATGACCTCCAGGCTTACCCAGTAGCGTCCTAAGCCAGTGTCCTTCTCCTGCCTTAACGCACAACAGCAGAACGGTGATCTTCAGTAGCGAACACATGGTTCTTCTTTTTCCACCTGGTTTTACTTCTTCGGGATGAGAGTGCAGGTGATGCTGAGATGCACCAGAGTCACCGACTCTTTTATAGCCATCTAAGCGGGTCAGAGCTGATGGGGCGGAGGGGATGGTGGGGTGCGGCCAGGGCGAGAGCGAATCAAAATAACCCTTCTGCTCCCAGTCTCCCACCTGGTCTCATGGCTACAATTGAAGGCAACTTTGTCATTTTTGGAAAGCCATTGGATTTTTTCCAAGTCTGAGAGTATGGAAAATGGGGTAGATTGGTTAAAGCTGCTAGATGTAGTGATGAGGGTCGTCATTGCTGTGGTTGAGCTGGTCAAATACATGGAATTGCCCATTTTTCAATGTTTTTACACACATTTTAAATAAAGTTGAATGAGGAAGAGCAAGGGTTAAATGCTTGAAGGATGTAAGAAAGGCCCATAATTAAAAAGTACTAAATAGATGACAGAAGTTATTTGAGAGGAAATTCCGAGAATAATGGCTGTCTTCAGATACATAAATTTGGGGATTTTATAAAAATATGATTTTTTTCTTGCTATCTACATTCCTTATTTAACTAAGAAGACAGGAATCCTGCACTGCTGGAGGAATAAGTGATTACGCATGGTTTCAGTGATATCTCGACTCGAGCCATTCTGTGATCTCAAGAGTTTAGGTCCAAAATGCATTTGTAGACTTGAGTACACTTAAAATTCTTATTATTCTTAGCATTTGGTCAACAAAATTAACATTTTTTATAACCTGAAATATGAGAAATATATTGCTTAAAAATCCTGAAAAAGTCTGACAGGAATTTTGTCATGTTCTCACCATCAGCACTTTCTTTAATGCCCACCAAGCGAACATTTTACCCCCTGATTCTGTTTTCAAGATCTCGACATTTGTCTAGTAATTTTTTGCACTTTGAAGATCACATGTTGTGCTTGTTCCAGTGATGTTACTCTCTCCATAGTTTCACTGAGAGTGTTACTGATACTCACTGTCTCTATGTGTACTGAGCAAAGATGCAATAGTTTGCCTGCTAGCTCTTCATGTATAGCACGGATATCTGTTTTTGTTTCTTCAAGCAAAGAGGAGAAATTTGCGTTGATATCATTAAACAAAGTGCTTTATCTTCCCCAGCAGAGGTTCTCTGGATACCTGTAGTTCTTCTCTTAAAGTCTGTGGCGATATTGGGCTCTCTGTTGAGGTTTCTTGTAAACTGTGTTGCACTCTCGACTCTCGACTGTGAACCGACTTAGCATATTCTGAATTTGCATTGTTTTACCCTTCTTCGTTCTTCTTCATCAGAGATGATTAGTGTACAGGGTTACTTGCATTATGTTTAGTTTTTGCTTTATTCAATTTTGATACTTCAGATGTCCAAATTACTAGATTGTGATCGGTAGAGCACTGCACTTCCAAGTTCCAACTTAGTCCATTGGACGGAAACCGGAAGTCCCCATATTGCTTTATAAAATCCACAATTTTGCTGTTATTTACCCTCAAGCCACCCGAGAACTTTATTGCCTTTTGATCCAAAGCCCCCAATTATTTTAAGGTAAAATTCATGCTATTAACAAACAATTAATTATAACATTTACCTCAATAAACTCCTAATAAGCTGCTTACAAATAGTTATTAAGCCAGTAGTTACACTTGGGTATTGTAGAATAAAATTAAGAGTATGCACTTTATAAATACAAACAAAACAGTCAATCTCATTTTACAGTAGTCAACACTTGAAGTGAGCAAAATTCTTTCATTACAGTTGTCTTATACTATCTAGCCTCACCCATTCTTGTCCTAGGACATTTTAAAAAAATTTTTTGATCCACTTCAAATGTTTACTACTGTAGGCAGGTAATAAGGCACTCGTTAATAGTGAGAATTGGTACCTATAGTGTAAACGATTAAGTAGCATGTCTTTTATTTAAGTGTACATTGTGCAAATTGTATTGCATTTCATGGATGATTTTCTTTCATTTTAGACATACACTTTTAGTTATATTTAGTTCAACAAATATTTAGTTCATTATCCAAGGTGGTTTTACAAAACATATACTTACAGTACATTGTATACTGTCCTGATATTATACTTGCATGCTCGTAAATTCAAGAGAAATACTTGCAAATTTGGATTGTGCACAGTTCAAATGCTTTCCAGTCGGACATCCATCAGTATTAAAAAAGATCAATAGAAAAGGATTTCAGCCAATTGCCGGGTGGTTTAAATAGACACTGGCCCATAAAACAATCTGCTTTACAGGGAAACCTCCATAGCAGTCTGTTCTCAGCAAGATCATGTCTTTATTTATAACTCTTTTAACCCATCCATCATGAGGAAGATTATAGGCAGTTTCCACTGGTGCTGCTGCCATGCTGTTGGCTTAAAGCTCCTTACAAGCATGCTTAAACTGGATGTCTTCATCCAGACCAGAGACTTAGGGTCTGTGTCCCCAGATGCGCATAATAAAGTGAATAAAATCTGGAATAAAATAGCTATCTGTCTCGCCAGTGAAATAAAAAATTATGAGAGATTTTTTTTATTCTGTTTATTATCCTTCTTTTACTCCCATGTGTCCTCCCAAGGATCTGTACGATTCATTTCTTGCATGTAGCTGAAAAATCTAACAATGATGATAATAATAATGAGGATATGAAAGTAAAGGGCACTTTTCCTAATTAGAGAACAAAACTGAGCCTAAAACCTTTTTTTTTTTTTTTTTTTGCTTTTTGTTTTACTTACAATATGATCTGGTTTCTAAAAAAAATATGGGATTTACACTTTTTGCAATGAAAGACTATATGCAAAATGTTTTACATGTGGAAAAAAGAAATTCAAAATGATATAAACTAGCACTATTTATAGATTATCATTGTTATATAAAAGGTTCAACAGTAAATGCTTGTCCAGTACAAGTAAATGTTATGGACCGGCAATTGAAAGCTAAACTTACTTGCCTGATCGAACACACAATTTGAAAACAGTGATGTTAAAGTCGGGACTGCAGCAATATTTTTGGTGAACAATTTTTTCTTGTTCATACACTCATTTCTCCTTTGATTGCATCAAGTCATGAAGCTGTTTGCAGCATAGGCACAGCTCAGTGGCAGTGAACTGGTAGCTCAGCCATGTGTAGTGTTTCATTTTGAGTTTCACTTTCAGCCAAAAGCCTTTGAGTTGAGATGTGACTGAGCATTTGATTTGTTGAATGTGGTGAACAAATATACAAATTTATACATAAATTATACATAAATTGCTGATGAAACTGAAGCACCTGGTTTTAGAGCTGAATAGTTCTTTAGTATGGTATAGAGCATAGGTCTCAAACTGGATTCCTGGAGGGACGCAACTATGCACAGGTTTGCTCCAACCCTAATCAAACACAGCTGATCCAACTAATCAAGGTGTTCAAGATTACTAGAGACTATTAAGGATGTCTGAGTTGGAGTTGGTGGTAAAATATGCAGAGTTGCGGCCCTCCAGGAATTGAGTTTAGTGTAGGACCTCCTTTTGCAGCCCATACAGCATTAGTTCTTCTTGGGAATGGCACATACAAGTCCTGCACAGTGTCCAGAGGGATTTTGAGCCATTTTTGCAGAATATTGGCAAGGTCACTAAAGATACTGGTGGAGAAAAAACGTTTTCTGACACACTTCTTTAAAACACTCCAAAGTGGCTCAATAATATTTGGATGTGATGACTGTGTAGGCCATGGAATGTTCAACTTCACTTTTATATTCAACAAAGCACTCTGTCATCAGTTTCGCTGTGTGTATTGGTTCATCATCCTGTTACAACGCACCGCCTTCAGGATGCAATCTTTGAACCATTAGATGCACATGGTCCTCCAGAATAGTTTGGCAGTGATGTGCCCATAGCACAAATATTCGGCCTAGGGAATGCCATGATATTGCTGGATGTGGGAAAGACAGTGAAGATGGACTCAATCAGAAAACAATACATGTTTCACATTGTTCACAGCCCAAGATTATCACTGGACCCATTGAAATCAACGTTTAGCATTAGTATGAGTGACCAAAGTTTTGACTATAGCAGCCCGAACATGGAAATCCTCTGCTCTGCTCTTACCAGTGAAATGTGCAATCAATGAAGATTGGCCACCAGGCTGGTCAAATTTAGCCAGTGGAGTATGGTCACCATAACATGCACGAATGACACTTGAAAGCACCCTCATTAAAGGAAAATATTGAAATACTTCAAAAGTTTTCACGCGATTGAAACGTATGTGAATTTGCACAAAAATAACCACATGCAAACGTGTGTTATGGAAGAAGCTTAAGGGTGATGGAGGGCACCGTAAGTATAGATACACTCAGTGGCGAAGCGCAAAATGCGGAGGCCCCCCTGCAGTGATCACTGACGGAGCCCCCTGATGCGATCACAAATTAAGGAGCGGGGAATGGAGGTGGGGTGGAGCGACAGCGCGGGGAAGCCTTCACAAACTGAGGAGCGATCACAAACCGAAAGCGGCGAGAGCGTCAATGAGAACCGGCGGCGAGAAACAGTGCGGCGCGTCTTCTCCGGTGTGAGCGTCAAGGAGAGATCAAATCAAGTCAACTTTGAGCTATGATATGACGCAGTTCAGCGGCAAGCAATCAGAATGAAGTAGTCCACCGCTTGAGAGGTGTTTAGAGAACACAGACCTGTGAACTTTGGTTCCGACCACAGTTGTTCCCAAGATTTGATTATTGCGGTTGCTGGATTTTCAATTATTGAAAATCGTGACGACGCGGGGCCCCCTGCGGGCCCGTCCGCTAAGCCACTGGGTTCACTCAGTGTACCATTCAAGCTAGAACCACTACTGATTTCAAATATTTCACACAAGAAGCTTGTGGTTTTTCTGTGGGTTTTCATGCCTTTTAAGAAATCTGTTCATTATTCTCCTCATTTAAACTTGTAGATGTGATATGCATGCAAATTAAATGGTTTGTCTATATGCATGTGTATTCATAAAAAAAAAAACAATAGATTTTCCTAGTATGTCACTATTTGGTCAGTTACATGTATGCAAGGCCATGGTGGAGATACTTGGATGTAAACAACAGCATTAGCTTGCAAAAAAAT